AACTATTTTTTTCCAGATGATGAAGTTATGAAGCAGCTTTTACGAGAAACACCCCAGGGATTGATCAAGTTTCAAATGTATTCCAAGAAAGATGAGCAGCGCTTCACTGACCGTCGTTTGAACAGAGTCAAGAACAAAAACGCCATTCCGCTTGGGCCATGGGCACACACTGTTATAGAGGGTATGTGATCATGTGTGATGGATATCCGATCATGCTACTTTCTTTTTCAGTATTGAATTGACCAGATATGTAATTTCTTATTATATGGCTACATAGCTCTATGAACAGGCAAGATGAACCAAATCTTGTGCCGTGATTGCCACCCCCCACCCCCACTCCCCTAATGGACAAGATGGGGCTATCTATAGACCAAGCTTGTTTATTCAAGAAAGATGGCTACATATTAGCCTTGACCTTTTTTGCATATAAACTTGCAAAAAGAAAGACTTGGCCATTATCTTGAGCTCACACTGGGTCAATAATCCATATATTTTGAATTCTGCCAACAGATCCAAGGATTCAAAATTTCATGATGATATTGATCATCACTAATTCTATTGTTCTTGGGGTCCAAGCTGGTGAGTCATTAATTTTAGAGCCCATTTGGTAATTGATTTTATAGACCTTGAAACAAACTCTTGTCTAAAAAAAATAAACGTGGCATGCTATTTAAATCAATTTTTGCCTTAACAGAAATCTCTAAAGTTGATGAACCCTCTCTTCATGGACTGAAACTCACTCTACAAATTTTTGATTACTGTACACTGACCATATTTGTGTTTGAGATAATTCTTAAATGGATTGATGGGTTCTGGACTTTCTGGAATAATGGCTGGAACATCTTTGACTTTGTTGTCACTGTTATGGTTAGTATAAACATACTATAAGTTTACAGTAAATACTTGAAGCTTGTGTTCAAGTCACAAGAACCTCTGTAGGAAACAATGCTGTTGCTTAGATGCTGTGCAACATTTTTGGATCATGTGACAAAACACAATTGAAGACTGCTTGAAGATTCTTGAAGATTAAGCTTAAATAGTTGTTTTCTTCTGATGATTTTAGTCTACTTCTAGCACTCATCAGATGATTAAAAAAAAGATGGGTGTGAAGTATAGGAGTCTTTGTTTGTCTATCTATCCATGAACCTAGATTCATAAATTTTCCATTGACTTTTATCTTTCATTTTTATGGTTTTTTTGTAGTCATTTGTGCCAGAGATTATTGAGCTTTCATCAGGGAAAAACACAGCCGAACTTGGAGTCATTGCTGAAAATTTGAGAGTGTTCAGAATCTTACGATCACTGAAGATGGTGAGCAAAATTTGAAAACATCGATTCATCAAAACAGTTCCAAAACAATAGGTGATCAGAAGTGAACTGTTTCATTGGTCATTTTAGGTTTCAAGATTTGCTCAGCTTAGGATCATTGTGCTGACAATTCTCAAAGCATTCAAGGTAATGATCGACAATGAAACAGGTTCAGAGGTTTTACTTACCTTTAGCTATTTGTTGGAACACTTATCTATTAAGGAAAAGTTTTGCCGAATTTTTGCCACTCACGTTTTTGTGACAAGCTGTTGCTAGTGTACAAGTATAAGTATTACTTCATGAATTAATGCAGTTGACACTGTATATTTTAGTCAGTACTTATCCATTTGCTGCATTACACAAATTATCATAATACAGTGGGCTCACATTAGTAGCAAGTTTTTATCAGTCATTCATCTTTCACTGTCTAGTCAATGGCATTCATTTTGATCTTGCTGATGACATTCATGTACATTTTTGCTGTGGCTGGAACTGTCATGTTTTCTTCCTACTCCAAATCCAAAAGAACTGACCTCAAGTATAAGCAGAGCTTCAGGTAAACAAATGTGCAGATCAGTTTCTGATATTTAGATAAATCAATCTACATAATATTTCATTTGAACTATAAACATATTATTTAAGTTGCACTGAGCAGACACCCTTTAACTGTGAACTTAAAGGGCATATCACCTTATGGGGGTTAAAAATCTTAGAAGTGTTTCAGGGGTTTCATTAACGTTTTCAACAGGAGGGCAACTGGTTAAACTATGAGAACTGAACGTCTCTGTGAGAAAAACTTTCCCCTAGATGGTCACACCAGCGTGGTAAAATTGTCCTCACAGCCGATCAATTTGCTTGGTGTCCGACTCTTAATGAAATCCCTGGAGTTTGTTTGTATGTGTGGCTATGACTCATGACTGAGTGTCAGCTTAAATGAGTAGTGTCTGTTAGTGAAAGCTTGACAGTCCCTGAACAAGTTATTATAAATGTACATCTCTATTATAGCTGTAAATACCACTGCCTTAACAAAACCCTGTGGGGCATAACTTCTATGTTACAATGTGTAGTCAAATGAAAAATTATGCAGA